TCAACTAACATAAGATTGTAGTATTAATGAAACAAAAGGACGACAGAAATGTGTTACAAAGCAAGTCACTAACATAAGATTGTATATTAATGAAAACAAAAGGTGACAGAAATGTGTTACAAAGCAAGTCACTAACATAAGATTGTGTATTAATGAAAACAAAAGGCGACAGAAATGTGTTACAAAGCAACTTACTAATATAAGATTGTATATTAATGAAAACAAAAGGCGACAGAAATGGATTACAAAGCAACTCACTAACATAAGTTTGTATATTAATGAAAACAAAAGGCGACAGAAATGTGTTACAAGGCAAATCACTAACATAAGCTTGTATATTAATGAAAACAAAAGGCGACAGATTACTAACATAAGTTTGAATGTGAAAGATAATGTTTACTGTGTGTGTTATGATAATTCTTCTGTGTGTGTGTGTGTGTGTGTGTTATGATAATACTAACTGTGTGTGTTATGATAATACTTACTGTGTGTGTGTGTGTTATCGAATAGGTGACTATTCTTCTTCAGGGTCTTATTTTAAGTTTATTACACTTTATATGTGATCCTTTGTGCTAATTCTTTTATCAAGATTACCGTGTGTGTTATGTTTTTGTAAATATCTCAAAGCTCGTACGATGGTTAAAAAGCACAAATACGATTCATTTATCTTAATTAACACATATGATTTCTAACAACCAAGTTATCCATATAGTTTACGGCAAACAGCGTAAAGAAACTCGGAACCACATTTTTCTCATTATATTCAGCGGTGGATCTCTTCGGATTTCATTGATCAGCAAATGTAATGCAAAATTTAAAATACATATGTAAATGACCCAAGTTAAATTCTTTCTAAAAATGCGTATATTGCGAATATAAGGTATTCAATTAATTGTGTATTCAATTACATTACGATATCAAATTTGAAACTATAATTTTAATGTTTGTCACTTGTTTTGTTTTCTACGGTTTATTTGTGATTCAATCGAACTACCATTATATAAACGTCAAAGAACTGTATGTTTTCCATTTGGTTTAATTGGGGTAATTGCTAGTCTAATGAGGTAATTACTGTTCTTTTATGTAACGAGAGAGACGAATTCAATCTTTTTGGGGACTAACTTTAAAACACACAGATAGTTTGAATCCAATGCAAATGGCAGACGTAATTTTAACAAATATCAGTAAGAAACCAAACAAGTAGGGTACGTGTATGTCTTGGAAGAAAATGGAACAAAGTAGTTTTCTAGATATCAAAATACATACACCAAAATAAAATAAAATAAAATTTCAAATCATTCTAAAATTGAAAAAGTTTATAAAATAGTTCTACATCAAATATATATGCGTTTTAGAAAATTCCGGCTATCAACTGAAATTAGCGGAAAGATAATTGTCTCCAATATTCGTAATTACTATTAGAATCATTTTCTTACAACATATTATCTGAATGTATTGAGAAAACATTATACTGCCATTTTTTATGAAATATCTTCACCTTTTAAGGCCGAGGATAGAGACATTGTATGATGATAATATATTTCAGTAACCCTTATTTGCACATTTGAAATAAAATAAATACTTTAATCTTTGTTTCACTGTTTTGCTGAAGGAAACCCGGGGAAAAAATACCAAAACAACTACATAAAAATTATACGACAGGTTTTTGAAGATCAGAGTGTAAAACTTTAGCGTATTTTAGATATAAAACTCAAGATTCATTTAAATACGTATTAGTTCCTCTTTGCAATATCTTAAAATATACTTAATCGAAAAATATGTTCAATTACACCTAGTAAAGCACATACTTAGTTTTATTCACATGTTATGACAATAATATTACATCCATACGAAAGAAATGTTAAGCATCTTCGTCCGCACCAAGAAAATAAGTTTGTTATTTTGTAAATCAATCCAACAAACGCTGCATATAAATTCAGATAAAATGTGACGTCTTTTTTTTTCGACTTCATGTGTAACTTATTGAAACTTTCATTATAAACTTATTTAAAAATAAGTTTTTATCTTGTTTTCTTAATATGTTTTTTTTTAATTTGGACACTATTCTGATTTTTGACAAAGATAATGACATACTAAAACTAATTCGAATCATGTACCTCGTATACACAGAAGTTTTATTTAAAGAATAATTGCTCTATAAACCCCGCTTAAACGTTTTTTTTTTTTTTTTTGAATAAGACAATACACATAATTTTAATAAGAAATGCATATCTATTCAAAAGCCATTTTTATGTTCTTCAAGTGTTTGTTTTTAGGACTATTTTGCGATGGTAGACCAAGTAGACCATCCGTTGTTTAATGTGTTGCTAATTTTGTCAACTTTCAAATAATATGGAAATATTAATTCAGATTCACATTTGTTCGATACACACAAGAACATACATAACGTTATTTTGCATACATATCATGATCGAACAAAGTTGAGTTTGGCGATGAATAAGAAACTATAAATCTATGCATACATTCATATATATGTACACATAAAAATATACATGTCCTTAACTTGAACGTTGAAAATATATTTCAACAGAATATAGAAGTTTTATCTGTCACTTGAAAGGACGTTTTGACAGAAAACCTTATGTGGAACAAATTTTTGGTATAAAAACAATTATTAAAAGGATAGACTTTTTTCTATCTTATATATTTTAATCACAAGGCAAGTCTGTAAATTAAACCCTACTTTGAACCTATTGTACTGTTCTTTTAGAAGTGTGGTTATTTCACTTTCAGATTTAAATATCTCTGTAAGTTTGAGTTCAATCCAGTTACTTTTACTTCACACTGCAAGTAAGAGAACATTCTACACTTTAGTTTTTAGTGTAAATATGTTTTTTTAAATATACTTTATGCAGGCAGTTATTTGTATAGTATAAAAATGGAATGTAACGTTTGTATGAAAGACAAAAAATAATCACTGAGGTGTTATTCACAAATATATAGTTTCTATCAATAACTGACAACATAAAATGTACATGCACACAATAAAAGAAATAAATTAAAAATATGACATTAATAACTTCAGAATGCGTAGTTGTTTGTTCCTTTATAACTATTTTAGTAGGCAATATATAAAACATTTACGTCCCTGAAGATCTGTAAGCACATATATTTTTCACATTAAAGGTTTTCAAAAAGTGGAAAAATAATATTTTCCCAGGCCAGCAATATATATATATGTATATATGTGTGTATGTGTAGAGACTGGTTTGACACCATATATATATATATATGTGTGTGTGTGTAGACATATACAGTTTTCCTTATGATTTCAAAGTAAAAGCCTTAAAATTTGTCAATAGTATATATATATATTTTTTGTTAACTTTGTTATTTCTTGTTTCATTTAGTCATTGTGTTAATAGTCTTAACGTTTCTGTTGTACGTTCATCTTTCTAAGGCAGATTCTTATACTTGTATTACTGAAAACTTGTTTCACTACATGAAATGACACACAATATATATATATTGCTGCTTTGATCAACGTACAGTACATTGCAAAAATAGAAACTTCGTGGCATGCATAACAACCTCGTGGAATTGTAAATAAAATATAATTTGATAATGTATCCTATAGTATACAGTAAATAAAAATATATTCTTAATTTTCGATTGGTTATAAAACACAATGTTTTTAAAGTCTGGGCTGAGAAGATCAGCCCAAGAATTTGTATATTTTTCTCTATATAAAAATACACGGACTAGATTGAAATACTTTCACAAATAATACTTTCTAAGTGTCAGTGTTGAGCGTAGAAGTATTGAAACTGTTCACACCTTACTCATAGATTGTTGTTCACTTTTGTCGCTATTCTATCGCTGCGTTCTATTAGTTCTGAGGGATCATCGTGATAGATTTACTTCACGCTAGTCTACATATCACGTAAGGAACCTATGAGAGCCCAAGTTATTTTATGTACTTTCATGCTTCTCGCACAAATCTGTTATCACAGGACATTGCGAGTGATTCTTACGATATACAACTCCTTTCTAGCACTTGATCAATACTGATTTTCACAATTGTTTTCTTAATTATATAAAGTTGAGCAGTCCAGTTAGTATTACATCATATCTACAGAAGTTGATAAAATGCCTTCCAAGTTTGAATTAGGTTATTTTGTATGCTAATGTAAACAAATAAGATAAAATTATGAAGAAACCTCTCGTAATGCAACCTAATATTTCGGAAATGCTTAGTTATTAGCGTAAAGCTAAGTTTGGTAAAACCAACAATTGTTTCCCTAAAATCTATATAACTAGAAAGCTAATTTTTCTGGGACGTGCCTTTTAATGTAATCAAACCTCAAACTTTAGAAAACAATGATATCTATTATTCCAGAATTTTGTTTCTCTTACAAATATAGTTTTACAACACATAAAATAAATGATAATAATGACTAGGTAAATGGACTAGATTGTCTCGTTTAAACGATTATATTACATTTTTGTAGTTTAATTAAAAATATCATCAGTGCATCTCATGAACTTTGACCACAATTTAAACATTTTCTATTTAACACTTCCCCTTTATGGCAGAAGTGTCCTAGCAATCTTGCGTAGTACTTACGAGAAGTTGTTCGGATTGATGCTGTGTTAAAGATCCATGAGTTAAACTAGTAAGCAAACTTGTGTGATTCAGGGCTTGTGATGAAGTACTTTCAGCTAGAGTCCTAAATCTTTTGTCGTACATGTACAACAATGGGGCTTCGATTTTTTCGGAAATATTTTTGTGAATGTGGATGTGCTTCTTTAGATACGCTTGGCGTCTAAATCGTTTTCTGCAAATTTCACATTCAAATTGTCCCTCTTCTGTTGCATATCCGTTTGAGTCAATGTTGTCCGCATCTGGGGAAGGTGTGCTTCTCAAGCTATCACTATCACCACAGTTCTCGAGCAAAGTGGCCGGAAGCAGCTGCGGAGGTACGTGCAACTTCTCGCTAGCAGAACGGCTTTGTCGGGGCTTATGCCAACGACGATGTGAAGCTAGATTGGCAGGACAGTTAAAAACTTTGTCGCAATCGGGACAGCGGTATTCTACGTGCACAATACGTGAACAACGATGCTGAGCTAGACTAAACGCGTCTGGATAGTGTTCTTTACACAGCTTACATATGTACGCTCCAATTTTATTTTCAATTTTGGCTAGTTCAGCTTTGGCTTCTTCACTGATATTTACTACATTAAGGCTTGGGTCAATGTCACCACTTCTCATAGGAGTTGGTATGTCTTCCTCACACTCTGGTGCGAGAATAAATGTACCCGACACAGGTGACGTTTTGTCGTCGTCTAAGTTTAGCTTACGGACGGCTTTTCCTTTACGAGATATCTTAGATTTTCGTTTGGGTTCAGGACTCTGTGAGATTTCTTTCTTTTTGTTAGGTGGGAATGGTGAAACACTCTGTGAGACACGAACAGAGGAATCCTTGGGACGAGAAGGGGTACTAGGAAGGGAAGCAGGCAAGCGTTCTAAACGTGGGAAGTATACCACAGTTGATCGGACTGGTAGAGCTTTGTCTTTATCATTCTCATCGCCAGTAGTCAAGGCAAGCGGTTCGTCTTGTTCTTTTGGTAGTGTCGATGAGAAATACTGTAAGTCCTGAAATGATTCTGATTCAGAACTGGTGTCACTCCGGTCTTCGTCGGAAAACCGTCGACATCGTGGCTGATTAGTTGAAGGTGGACGGAGAGATCGCTTCACTAGAAAACCTCGGGGCATGATGGTAGAAAACAAAACAAGAACTGGTTTTACAATCAATGTAATATAATGTATTGTAGATTAAGATTTGCAATGGCAATCATAGGGCTCATTAAGAATGAAACTCAATAATTTTCTCCAATAACTCTGTTGTGCGTACAGTTTCTACCGTCAACTAACAAGAAAATGACGGCAGTCAGTTATATCCCTCAGTGCGAGCTCTCATAGTTTGTATGCTTTAAGCCACGCCTACTGTTGAATGTTCTGAGCCAAACTTGCATATGACTGGTGTATGGCGAATACCTATTTGAAGAATCAGAGTGATTGACATTATTTGAACTTCGTTAAAAGAATAGGGCGTCTCAAACAGTAGACATTACTGCATCAGTAGTGTTGTTGCTCGATGCAACGTTCAGCTTAGCGTTAACACATCTGATGTCCTCACAGAAAGGCGTTTGACAGAAACTATAACGGATTTGTTGTGCGGCTTTTTAGTAAAGTTGTTATTGGTTGATTTTCATACCGTCACAAAATAGCTGGTCGACAAAATTTTTATATTTCCAAGAAATGAAAACTGTCTATTATTCTTGCATTATATTTATTCACTTTCAAAAACCTACAAAATAAATAAAAACAACAGAACAATATGTTACGGATTATGTCTCGATTTGGTGAATATCAAATTCTTATTACTTAAGATTTAAATTGAAATATGCTCATGTTTTGTAAATTTATTCATAGGTGAATTTTTGAGAGTGTTAAACAAGTTAATCTACTAAGCTAATTAAGTTCGCTTCTATTCATTGTTAATGCAAGTTTTCGACACCCTTTCAAGAAATAGCTATTTCATAATGTTAATAACTCACAGGACAGACATAAGAGGAAATTTGAAAAAAAAGTTAGGAACGTACATTTGTATATGTTAATCATTTAAATACAAACTTTTGTATTAAATAATGAAACAGACAAGAAATGCAGAGCAGTATTAGAAGTTTAGTTTAACAGAATACAGCACAGTCTTGTGCGTATAATTCATGAGAACATAGCATAGTCTTTGAAGTTTAGTTACTAAGTTTAAGAAAACATAGCGCAGTCTTGTAAGTTTAGATTTTTTTCTTAAACTAAACTTACAAGATTGCGCTATGTTTTCTTAAACTAAACTTACAAGATTGCGCTATGTTTTATTAAACTTTAAAGACTCTGCTATGTTCTCATGAACTATACTTACAAGACTACGCTATGTTTTCTTAAACTTATAGCGCAGTCTTGTAAGTTTAGTTTAAGAAAACATAGCGTAGTCTTGTAAGTATAGTTCATGAGAACATAGCAGAGTCTTTAAAGTTTAATAAAACATAGCGCAATCTTGTAAGTTTAGTTTAAGAAAACATAGCACATGGAAATTTAAGAGAATTAGATTGCTCACAAGACATTCTGGTTTCGAATCAGTTATATATTGCATTGAAAACTACTGTAATCTGTGTTCTTTATATATTTAAGTTTACAGCATCAGATATTTTATTATTTTCAATTCAGAATACAAGACTTGTATTAAACAATATTTTAGTACATTTTTCGGGGACGTTTTCGGAAGTTTTTTGTCAAATCAGTAGAATTTTCTAATTTACATTTAAAAACGACAAAGATAAACAGGCCTTATACGTATGTCATAAACGAAAACAGAATGCAAGTATACGAAGAATTTAAAAAAATGATTTGTTGAGGGTAATTGATTGGAATTATTTGCTTGATATATTTTTGTTACTATAATTATTTGTTTTTCTTATGGTTGTTTAAAATAGGTTTATGGATTATAAGTTCCATATTTCAGTGCTAAATCTTACAAATGAGTCATTGTATGGGAACGTTACTACAAGAAACAACAATGAGTTTGATATATTAACTATATCTAATAACAAGTTTATTACGTTCTAACATAATGATTGTATTTTTTCGATTAATAACTAATATGCATATACATATTTCATCGAAGTGCAGTAATTTGGTGAACATGAAACCTATATAGATATGAAGATAATACTAACTTAAACTTTTATGAATGGCATCGTTTAATAAAGTTAATTGAATTATATTTTTTTATAAATTGCCTTGCAACTTCTCTTCATTAGTGAAATGTGAAAATAAATGGGCTGCATACAAATATATTAACATGTATTCAAAACGTTTCGAACCAAATCTGCTGTGTCATGATGATTTATGTTTTCAACAGGACTGCGAATGGATAATAGATATATTTTATTTCTCAGAATGCTACGGAGCGTTTTTAAAAAGCAGATTCATTCCATTGCTTAGTAGCAACGTTTCTATATGTATACTTGAAGTTAAAATGTAAGGGACGCAGCAACTAAATGTAAACTAAAACTCTTATCTTTGCCCGCAGTATTAAACCCACATAAGACGCACGCGCACTGTTGCAGCTGCGTGTTATTTTCCAATGAGGGCCAGGTGGTGAAACTGATCACCTTCTATTGTGGTAATAATTAAATTACAATACAATACCTTTGAGACATTACTAAGACGTATTCTCTCATAAACAATATTTACTAACATAAATAGTATTTCATCTGATCATTGAATAGCATTTGTTAGGTTATTTGATGGTCCAACAAGCAAACTAATAATCATAACCTATGTAATTGTTGTGGGGTACTAATATATAGTGGCGTTTGTATTTAATAAAGCTTTACTTTGAGAGAATATTATGTTTTAGTGTGTTATTGGAAATGTAGAACAGGCAATATCTAGATTATTAACTCCCCCCCCAAACTCTCTCCTTGCATTTCCTCGGATTTCACGAGCGGCTCTGGTCCAGACTGCTGAGTTGATGTTCTATGGTTCACCTTTCGTTACCGTCCAGAAGAAACATCGCGCTCCACACTTTGTGGTAGTGAATGTCTTATAAGAGTGATGGTCTAGACGAACTGCTTTCCCTTGATATGACACACATAGTATGAATGGCAAGCAACTGACTGAAATAATTGGACTCTGGGAATGATAAAATATATCTGATGCTCTTTCTAGGTGATCTAGTGCTCTGAATTATATCGCACTGTGACTGAAATATAGTTATTGCTGATGCACCTAGAATTCAACTAAGTTGAGAATTAAGCTTTCCACAAGGGCAAGCTGAAGAGCTTAGAATTACTTGATTACTTAAACAAATAATTTGTAATGCTTTCATAGAAAGAATAATTATGGTGTGGCTTTACTAGAATGAGAGGAGATCCTGAAAGACATGTCTCTAAAAGAACCTCCGAAACAAGTCACATATTTGAACATGTGGTTTTCAGGGACAGTAATGAATAAGGTCTTTTCTGTGGCAATACAGATTGATATGGCCACATTAAACATATTGCTAGAGAGTAGTAACCCAGTAACTGTAGCTGCAGTGGCTCAAACTCAATAAGTTTTTGAGATGTCAGCGTTTCATACTTCTCTTATTTTACCCAAAGATTTAATGAGGAAGCACAGGCAAAATGTTACAATAAACAGTACAGATTTCAATTGTGTAGAAATAACTTCCCATACATATTACAATTACATTATTGCAGTAGTCAAACCCTTATGAGGTGTTGGGCACCTGATTTTAATTATAGACTGATTAGGTACCGGAAGAGAAAATTTTCATATCTTGGTCATGCAAACAACAAGTTACCTAATATGAACTAGCAGGGCCTAGTTATACCTGAACAGCAACCTAGTGTCCAAAAAGGTGGTGACCAATTCAGTCAATCTTGGACAAGACATTACTTGGTACATGTGTGTAAAAATACATGGATGAGAAACTGGGGTTATTGTTTTTTTATAGAGCTATCGAATTTTATTTTATTGAATCTTCCAGCTTATAACACGCTCCAAGTTAAATCTCCTTTGAGTAATGGAGAAAGACTTTTCTGACTGTTAACAAGGTCTTAAAACAAGATGAAGAAATTGTAGATGTATTCAGCTGTGCAGACTGTTTACCATAGTGCTTTTATCTTTCCTCAAGCTTTGGGCTGAATTCAATCAGCAGTTATGGTGATAAAAGTTCATCAATTAACGCGGCTGCAGCATCTGAATGTCAAAAAGGAGTCAACCCTTTGCTTTGATGTAGTTTAGAATGAAATAAACAGAAGTTACGTTAGTGTCGGGATCTTATCAGTTAGTATGCCTGCAAGGTCTGAATGCTACGAAGTGTAATTTCACTGACCAATATTGTCGGATATTTTGTGTTAGCCAATCATTTACAGCAGTTATAATAGTGATAGGATTTATGTCGGTGTGACTGGTAATCATAGATAGGAATTTAAATAATACGTCGACTGAAAGCAGTCTGTAATATGTGCTTTACAAATTACTCAGGTGAAATTTCATACCTACTACTAGCAAATGATTGCATGAGAGACTACTTGGGACTTCTTGTTTTCATGGATGTGTGCAATTACACACATAGCTATGCCTTTACACATACACATGCAAATCCTAAATATCTATAAGACGATATATATAGACACATGAAAACAAGTCACCAGTGTACAAAGAAAACAGAATATAACTAATACTTCCAAAACTGTTTATCTCAAAGAAGTCATTACTTATTGTTTTAACAAGTTTTTACTATGAGTGAAGTTATGATATTTTGCAACATTTTCTATTTTTCAATTTATAGTGTGTAATAAAACTAGTCATTAATACTCTATTTATTTAATCTCATTAGAAAAAATCAATATTTCTGCGCATTATAATAAATAGTTTGGAGGTGTTTTATTTTTTCAGAAAAGAATATTTATAAAAATTAGATACAAGTTAGCTGCAATAAGTTAATGATTCGCACACATAAGTATACGAACTAAGGGTTTATAAGCTAATTTTACTGTAAAGCTGACCCATTACGGGTTTTTGTATCCATCATCCTTAGTTGATTAGTTCGATTACTGTAACTTTGGTATGGTAACTGGAAACTGTCCGATGGTATACATTAGTGATTCTGTTCAACGATTTTTACCCGAGAAGGGAGATAAAAAAGACCCTGAAATATGGCACATTTTCACTTTTTTTAAATAAACTTTTAACTTGCATTACTCTGAACTGGCTGATTCGATTACCGTAACTGGAAACTGTCCGATGGTATACATTAGTGATTCTGTTCAACGATTTTTACCC